TCCCATTTGGAAGGCGGGCTCGTATTTTTAAGTTTGCACCGACAAACTTAACCGTGTCTCTTTAACTTCGCTTTCTTTTCCCGGCGGCGGGGCCGGGCTCCGGCGCTCTACGGGCGCCGTGCGAAGGGGCCGTCGGGGTGTCAAACAAAAGGATTCCGGGAGCGCACACGGAGACCAGTTCCCCGAGTCACACCTTCTGCGTTTATTTTCCACCTTGCGAGTGGAAGCGGTTTCACACCATCTGCAGCGTTTGAGCTGCATGTGCAGATTCAGGGGGTTGTGCTGGACGGTCCCTACAGGTTTTGGGGGGCACGGGAGGGGGAGAGGAGCGAGATTCTTGAGCGAAAGCTAACAAGAGCCAGCAAAAGGGCTGCGGTGCAGACAGCTTTTACCATCGGTAACTATTACAGCTGTGAAACTATGATGGGTAGATACAGGGTTTAAACTTCAAGTTTGTTCTGATGGTGATTGTAAGAAGCTCTTGTCTTCTGAGCAGCTCGGTGTGTCAGTGGGACTGAAATGATGAGGGACTTCATGAACTCCATGGAGTTTCTTTCCACGCAGCAGACCTGCCAGTTCAGTAGGCTAACGTGTGCGGCTTTTCTTTTTCTTCTCCCAGAACCAATCTACGTTCCATTCCTCATTGTTGGATCGATATTTATTGCCTTCATTATCGTGGGCTCTCTGGTTGCGGTTTATTGTTGCACATGCTTAAGACCTAAACAGCCGTCCCAGCCAATACGATTTTCTCTGCGGAGCTATCAGACCGAGACTCTTCCCATGATCCTGGCCTCGACAAGCTTCAGGACGCCGTCGAGGCAGTCCAGTACCGCGACAAGTTCCAGTTCGACCAGTGGCTCGGTTCGCAGGTTCTCCTTTCCCCGGGCAGAGCCGGGGTGCCTTGTGGCATCGCCACCTCCACCGTACACGTCTGGCTGCTTCCAGACAGCCCATGCAGTCCACCTGTCCCAGCCGTCGGGATTTCTGGTGTCACCACCGTACTTTGGGTATCCTCTCCAGCCAGAGCCCGCCCTGGCTGGGAAGAGCTGCTCCGATTTTAGTCAGAGCTGAAAGGAGCTGCGAAGAAATACCCTGGCCTTGGGAAGCTCGGGGACTGCTGCTGCTGGGTGTCACACCTGACACGTTCTGGGGTTTCAGAAGTCAGAACTGTCCCCATGGGTGAGTTGCCCTTGACAAGTGCAAGGTCTTGCTTGGGATCTTGTTTCCCAAACTTGGATTGCATTTAGAAACGAATCGTAAAATTTTCCAGACAGTTGCTCTAAAAACTGACTGCTCTGATTGTTCAGTCTAATCTGTGCAGAATGTGTTCAGAGACAAGTAGGAAAGCCAGTTTTGGGATAAAGGTACTCATTTCACGGTGTTATAAATGACATTTTAACCCTAAATGCTGTTAACTTTGTTAACAAACAGTGGCTGCGTTCCACTGATAATAATCAGATTAGTTCTATAAAGCAGCAATAAGCCTGAGAAGAGAGGAGTAATGTTTACTAAAGCAGATGCTGATAACAGATGTTTTCCTGTTTTCATTAGCACTGAAAATAAGAGGAAGACTTTTACTACAGAAATCAAAAGTTTTTTTAAAATACACGTAACATACCTGAACCTACGTTGCATATTTGTATTAGTAAACTTTAACTATGATAGATAAAACTAGTACTAATTCGGCTAGTTGAAAATGAGCCAATCCCAAGCAGCTGAATAATTATCTATGAGAAATACAGAATGTATTCAGCAATATCACGAATAACTTCTCTGCATGAAAATCTAAAAACGGTATTATATTAAAGCATTTTTCAAATGGAACTATTTATTGGCTTTTTGCTCAGCACCATGTGTAAGTTGGACAAACTGATCATAAAATTATATTTGTAAAATTAGGCATGTATAAAATGTAAAGACAAGCTTGTAATTTAAAATATGTTTACAGCATTGACAACACTAATTATAGTCACACACATTTATTAATAAACTGTGTGGTTGAAATACATTGTCTGTATGTCTCTGCAGATAGTGACTGATGAGCAAGTTTTCATTTTGATCGTGTAAGTATACTGTATTTTCATGTTAAAATAGTTCATTTTGTCTTTGTAAATGATTTACATCTTTTACTGTGCACTTGTGCAGATTTAATATAATATAAAATTCTGAATATATAGCTAACTAATAGATCAATTAATGCCTTTTATCTGCAGCTGTGTAGTAAAAACTACACTGATTACTTGGGTATTTAAAACATCTTGCCTTAGGAATATATTTTGTTTGCCCTTCTACATTCCTTCACCCAGTTAAACCAACAAACCAAATGGAAGAAGAAAAAAAATGCATCTAAACCAAACACATGCAGCAAGCAAATGGAAAATACACAAGAAAAAAATGTGGTCATTTAAGGGCTGCTCTGTATGCTTACTTTTGTGAACAAAGTCATTCTGTGTCTCAGAATCTACAGTATCAGAGGCTGAACTGCCCTATTTTATCAGCCCCCAAATCCCTGTGTATAGGATCTGCTGAAGTACATTATAGCCGACCTACTTTACAAGTACTTGCATGTCAGTGCATATTAAAATTACAGCAGTCCTATTCTGAATTACACTGTACTTCTCTGGATTTTAGAAAACCTTCACTGCTTCTTCCTCAAGAGCTGAATATTCTTTTTCTTAGTAAATATCTAGCCATCATTATTCTAGCATTTATGAAAAAATATCTTGAAACAGCCCCTGGAATATATTTTTTATTGCATAACTAACATTACAATCCAACACACACTACTGCTGGAAATGCAGTTTCTAAGCAGAAAGACAAGTTGGCTTAATGCAATGATATTTGACGTAATAGACTTTAGTAATAGTTAATTACAAACTAAAATCATGATACACAGTAGTGTATACTGTATACTAAAAAGGAGATTTTTTTTTTTGGGTTATTCAGAAATTAATTGAAAGGTGTGATGTTTCAGCCTGCAGCTCTTTTTGTTTTAGAAACATTCCTCAAGGAAGGGGGCCCACCCTTTGTTGATGTTTGGTAAGAACTCCACTGCACATTTTGAATGGATAAGAAATATGTAACTGTTCATCAAGTAATTTAATATTGCAACAGGTGTCACCTTTCTTGTTCAGAAGCAGCATCCTCTGAGATCTGCTGATCGTGACTGCATACAGCAAAAACAGATAGCAAAACAAACTACTTTTTACAAATATAAGTCATCAGTTAGTAGAAATCTTTTTTTTTTTTTTCCTGGTAAAGCCAAGACAACACAGATCCTTCTGGAAGCAGAAGCTTGGGTCAATTTTAGCTAAGAAGATGCAATTTTATGTACCTTTAGAGAATGGTTCGTCATCAAAACCACTGACACAGGTGGTGGGGGAGCTGAGATTCAATGTTTTCCTCGAAGACAGGCTGTACACAGCACAGCCGCAAGTTGGCCTCAGTTATTGCCTGTTTTTTGGTGTGTACTGCCAGGCTGCTTCACCATAATGGGCTCAGTGGGCTCTGCAGTCAGGTTTATTAACACAGGGATGGGTTTTTGCAGCACTTGTGTACGGTTTTACAGATGATGATGATTATTCAGCCTACATAGAGGCTGTGCCATGTCTTTCTCCCCTGATGCTGCATAACGGGTTTGACCTCATAAAAGGCTTGAAGAACTTGACACACAGGGACAATTTCATTGAGACTTGTAGAAGTCTGTAAGTTTATAGAGCACACAGAACGCTTCATGGATTGGTGGCCAGACTGCAGCAAATCCTGCAGACGGGGGTCTCAAACTGGGAAAGATCAGGTGTAGTTAAAATAGCTGCGCTGGGTTACCTGTGAAGCAGGTGAGGTGGAGGATTATGCACCATCTGCAAATAGACAAAGGAAAATCTGTGAGTTAAGAAGAATCTCTAAGTTGTGGTTCATGTAGCTAGAGTGGCAGTGACCTATATAGCCGAAGGGAGGTGGGCAGAATACAAGCCCACAGGCTGAAATGCTTCTTGGCTGTGCCAGGAGTTTCCAACCCAGATGGATTCGGGGTGCAAGCGGAAATCTGGGATTTCCTTCCTAATGAAAAGGACCTGTTGGCACTAGATGCCCCTGTGATTTGTAGGAAATAGGTGTGTTTTTTTAAAATCTTGCCGACAGAATGCAAATGGCATTCTGATAACACAGTGACTTACAAAACATTTTGAAGGGCTGGATGTATGCTTGAACAAAAAAAAAATTGCTCACTATCAGAATTAACATTTACACAGTACTTGCTTTACTGCCATGCTTATTCTTTAACACAGTAGTTTTAAACATTTCTTTTGTAATGCTGGAGTTAGTTCATATTCATTTTACCAGAGTGATGCCAATTAAAAAAAATCAAAAGTGAAATAAAAATCACAGTAATTTAATTATTTTCATTCACACACATTCTGCACAAAATGCTCAAGATTACCATTAACTGGTAATGGCATGTCTGAAACCCAAGCCTGCTGTGGGCAAAGAATAACAGTGACGTGAATTAGATCATCAGCCATTTGTTTTGTATTTCTACACTGGGGGCTCCTTAAGCATGTATCTCCAAAATGCATCAAAATTGTTCAGTGCCAAGAAAAACATTACATGCACTTGCAAGAATGTCTGAAGGATTTTATTTGAAACAAGGTAAGCGGTACAGTATATAGCTATGTAAACTCATGAATTATTTGCAATACTAATCCCACTGGATATTTTTTTTAATAAAAAAGTGACAATTTCAAAATTAGTTTGTCACTACTGTTCAGTTGCACCTTGACAGTAACATTAAGGATATTAATTAGTCCGTTTTTTGACGCTTTCTGCATAGTGCACTATGCTCTGTGGACTTGATACTCTGAGCAGAGCTTCTGCTTTTGAGGGAGCTGCTGCTCCACAACACTCAAGTAAACCTTTGGGTTCACAATTGCATCGAGGCTGTAATTCCATGCTCTGCTGTCCTCATTAGCAAAGGCAGAAGAAACGCATTTCTGTTAATTTTATTCTTTCCATCTACAACTTGTGTGAATTCAGGGTGCTGTGGTGTACATCAGGTTAGTGAAATGATTTAGCTTAAAAATAACATTTATCATAAGAAAGACGGAGAAGGATTTGAAAGTGAGCCTGGATCATTATAAACTGGATTATAACCTGAATAATTTCAATGGCCTCATGACCAACAGCGTAATAGAGCCGATAATATACCAGGAGGTGGAATCTCCTTAAATCAACTCCACTATTAAAGACTGGGTATCATGAAACTAACAGCGTGAAAGATGCATCTATTATCAAACCTGCCTTGACAGAATATAAAATTTACAAAATAAAGTCATTGCCTAGTGTGCCTATGAATTATCAAGTCACCTATCTACACTTAAAACCCAGTTTAGGTTTGGATATATTAGTTTTTACTCAGTGGGTGGGCAAGGTTAGGAGAAAGAAATACCTGCTACTGTCATAGCCAGAGGATACAGTATTTATCACTGTTGTCTGAAAAAGGAAATGACTTTTCCTTATTCTCACATTGTTGTACTGCACACTGCTCTTTCAAAATATGGTATCACCACCAGAGTATGTTAGGGCTCTGCTGCAAATCACTAAATTGCAGACTCCTGTGATCCCTTCTTTTAGGTTTGTTTTTTTTTAAAAAAACTTTTTCTGGACTTCACACCAGAACTGAAAAAGACATATCAAAATTGGTGTTTAAAGAAAAAAGTAAACCCATTTTCTGTTTTCAGCTTACTTTAGTAACATAAGAATTCATTAGTATTTGTAAAATGCTATTTTGGGTACGTCCCACTTTAAAGAATTCCAAACCGAGTGATATGTACTCCTTTGAAAGTACTCCCTAGCATTTGCAGTCCATCAATTCAACAAACTTCTTCATTTAATGGCAAAGTTTATTCATTTTTTAACAATTAAAAGACAAAACATTTAAAATTCGCAGTTCAAACATGCACATTCACCAAATGCCAAATGACATGTAACACTGCATAGAACTGAATGTGTTACTAAAAGAGAAGAACTATTTATAAAACACAGTGCATTTAACATCCAGTTAAAACTAAACCTGAGGAACTACCATAAACACCAAGTCAAAAATTCTTCATTCATGCAGCTTCATTAATTTCCACGACAGTTTCAGCAGTAAAGGTTTAGTGGAGCTGTAAAACCTCACTTTACCTTGAATGCAAATTTTGCTATTACAGACTGACCGCTTTCTGCAGCGGTTCGTACATATCAAACACTGAAAATCTTAATGAAAAACTTTGCTGAAGTAGAAAAACAATAATAATGCATTTATGGCTTCTATTCTACAATAAAGAAACACCATAAAATATGATTTTAAAAAAAACCTGTTCTGGCCACAGCTTTGCAAGTAACAAATCACTCTCTATGCAGAAACGTCTTTTTTAAGTGCCCAACTTTGCACATTGTTGCTCAAACGAGTAGTCCTTATACTCACAAACGAGTCCAGTTGAAGCCTATGTGAGCAACGGTTTGCATAAGCAGGAACCAGGTTTGGAATGCTAAAATATTCCTTTGTTTAATAAAGATCTGTTGGTTAACGGCAAGGAAACTAGGGGAGCGAGGGCAGAGGTGGGGGAAGGAGAAACTCATTTGTTGAGTTTTGTTACCAGTGAAAACATCCAGTACCAAGAAAGCTGAACTGACAAACTCATTTGCTTACACAGTGCGAGCTTCTCAATATATTATGAGCAGACTTTTAACGAAGGCAATAAAAAACAGGGAACAGCAACCACCATGCATTGCCTTGGAACACTTAGAAATATTACCTCATGCAGACAGAATGATAAATTCATCAGAAATACAAGTGCTTTTACACAATACATAAGAAAAAAAAAGGAAAAAACCCTCTTCTCCTTAAATTTAACACATATTCCAAATTACTCATCATTCAAGATGGGTTTACAGGTAATGAAAGAAGTCTTAAGACACTCAATGTACATCTTTAACACAGTGAGTTTTATGGATACATGTGGACATATAGGAATCTTCAGCTATTTCTCAGTGTTTCAAAATATTTTCTTTATCATTTTATACAAATAGAATGATGACTAAGTAGAAATCTGTTGAAACTGTTTTGCAAAAGTAAGTGTAAAACTAGGAAATGGAAAGGAAAAATTCCAAATATAAATTATCAATAGGTTTGTTAAATTTTTTTTCCTGTTACTTACTCTTTTGAATCACTTATATATATAGGTATATATTTAAAAATAATCAAGCAACAGTATTTATATAAGATCTGATTTCTATGTGGCACTGGTTCAACTTTTTGATGGAAATTTTTAATACTAACTTGTAATTATTATGCAGTGCATATGAAACATGGGAAAGTCCATGTGAATTCTATATTTAATACAAATTTGAATTTTCAAACAATAAAACAGAGGCATTGTTATGAGCATGTTTTCCTAAAATCTTTTTTATTTAAATAAACATCTGCACATCACCTTTATTTTAACAGATACCATGTACTAACAGGATGGTAATAGATTATATTACTCTATACTCAACATGAAAATAAAGTGCATATTGTCTACCTGACCCGATTTAAAAATGGGCACACATAGCTAAGATGATCTTACATCCTAAAATGGAGCAATCAAAAAACATAGTTAGAATTTCCACTTTTTTTTTCCATTTCCAAAAAGTGGTATCTTCCAACTACTAGCTACATGAAAAAGACAAGGGAAAAACTAATCAGAAGTAATAAAATAAAAAAATGCACTTTGTGAAATACTACTCCAAATTCAGTAAAGATGTAAGGATGAAATGCTGTGATAAGAGTATCTTAAATTAGTCTAAATTTAGGATCTTAGAGGTGTTTCAGTTGCTTTCTTCCTTTTTAAGATAGTTAAACTGGGAATATCATGTCTGTTACTTTCCACAAACTGTATTACAACGGTGAGACAGAAGTGTATTTCATAGGAAGAATAAGAGTTCATGTAGATTTCTCATTGTAAATATTTTACAATGTATTATAGTCCTCTCATCCTTTACTGCAAAAATCAGCAATTAACCCATTTAGAATAGAAAAAAATGTAATCATAACAAAAAATTTACCCATAAAAACAGTATGTATAGACTGAGTCCTTTTATATGAGTTAAGTATGCCGAAAGATTATAAAGAAGCAAAAAGTGTCATGGTTAATTTCAGAAATGTTTTGAAGTTGGTCATTGTCCCTTGGATGACAGAAAATAGGGATTCCCATTTTAGGAAAGGGGCATGCCCCCAAATTTTTTCTTGCCTTAGGTCAAGTGATTTGGCCCTCCCATATTGATCCATCTATTTATCTATGCCTGAAATGGCTTTTCTGAAGGCAGTTCTTGTCTGCATGACTGACTGGCAGTACTGTTTCTAGAGGGATACGTTCCCTTTGTCCCCGTGTCTTCTGTTTAAAGATCACTCCGGGAAAGTGAGAGGAAGACATTGCATAACATGCATATGAAATGCAGACTGCCTCCCCATTGATCCGCCTTCCTAAATATGTACTTTCGTATAGTGCCTTTTGTTGGGCTTTCCCTGTGCATTTGTACGTTTCTCTTGGAATGGAGAGTAAGAAACTTGGATAGTGCAATCGTGTTTAGCTAGCCAAAAGCCAAGGAGGCAAAGTCAACCTTTAATACGTAAATGGCTAATGAAGAAGGGCAGAGAAAAGATAGGATTGGACGACTTGGTGCTCTTGGATGATGTGAAGAGCAGAGGAAATTCTTAATTCAACAGGTCATTGGGGATGTCGTTCTGCTTTTCCGTCAGGTTGATCTCCGTTCGAAGAAAAATAAGAACACTTCTATGTAACACACAGAAATTTAATTAAAAAATGCTACTACAGAAAAATGGATTTTAAAAATATCATAGTGGCTTTTAAACTCAGAATTAAACATGGACTAAAAAGCTACAAGATTTAACTAATTCTTAATTTTTTAAATAAAAGCTACTTTAACAGTAGCTTTTCTTAGTTTGAAATCTGATGCTTGTTGAGTGGTAAGGTGAGAAATATCAAGTATAGCTATTTAAAAAAGTTATCGCAATGTTGTAATTTAACATCTCATTCTTTTTTTTTTTCCTCCTTAAACCAGGCATCTATCTTTTTCTACAGTCACTTCCTCTCTATTTTTCATTAAAGGTGAGAGAACACTGGTATTCAGTATGACCAGTAAGTTGTAAAGAGTCTGCTGCAATGTATTTTACACCTTTATAGGAAGTGGCTTTAGTGCAAATAAAAGAGTACATACCACAGACTAGCGAAGGGCATGCTTTCCTCTCTATTTCAGTGTATGCATTTCAAATAATTTTAGTACAAAAATGTTGAAAATTTAATTAATTTAAAAAAATAAGTTAAAATAAACTTTCATTTGAACCCACAATATAAGCAGATAAAAATAAGCATTGCCAAAATAATTAAAACTTGCCAAAGGGAAGTAAGGCAGAGCAATTCTTAAAAATTGAACAAAATTGTATGTGTACTCAGTTTTATGGTGGCAGCCATTTTCGATATATGCAATACTGAATTAAAGTAAGAGAAACGCTTGCATAAGGCCAAAGGTGCAAAGACTTGCAGTTTTGAAAGCAAATGCCGTAAAGGCCACTCAAATTAGACTCACTGTACTGTAAATCTTTCTCCTCAAATGCGGAGATTCAAGCATGCAGTTCTGAGATCAGGACTGGAGTTAATTTCCTTTCAAATTATTTTTAACAACAGAAAACATTTACGGAACTTCTTTGGCAAACGTTTTTAGGTTTGACACAAACATCTATAAACATCTTGACTCAAAATCTTCCTCAAAGAAGGTGAATTAACACCATTAAAATACTATTTTTTTCAGCACTTGTTGAAATCAAAGGCTTGTTATCAACTGTATTTAAATATATTAACACTTAAAAACCTTCACAGATGCTAATGGTCTGTCAGTGTAAAGTATGTTTAACGATCTGACCATTGCCTTCTAAGTACATGACCAGTATTGATTCAATTTCATTGTAAAATAAGCAAGCTGGCAAGATACAAGGTCGATTCTGATCTGTTTACAAAGGCTAAGCAAATACTCGTTTAAAAATTTAGAGATGGTGTGTTACTGTATAGTTGCACAGTGCTTATGTCTACTGAATACACAAATCCAAACTTTATGGAACAAGACCATCACAGATCTTTAAATCTCATAACTGGGCCACAGCCACAGCTCCCAGCAAAGATCTAGTAGTCTGTCTCACAAAAGTAGCCAATAAGGCCTAAATCTCAAGCTGTGCTTCTTCACCATTCCTCAGGCCTTTGTTTTGTGGTATCGTAAGCTCTTATTACTTCAGACTGGGAAACTATTCCATTTTCATCTTGAGAGAAGGCGTAGCCATCTGCAGATATAAAACAAAATAGAAACCATTTAAGTTTTGATCACATTTTTTGGTTAAAGCTTTAATAAAAAAACTTAACAAAGGTCAACAGAGGGGAGTACAATTCTTTTCATCCATTACTAGGTATAAAATCTATACTGTTTCTTACATAATTTTGCAATTATAAAACATCAGGAAGAACTCTGCAGTATCTTAGGAATGAAAAGAAACTTATCAAGAGGCAAAGAATACGGTCTGCTGTATTTAGGATACTGTATCTTTATTACAAACAAATATAGTGAAAGGAAGAATTGTACTCCTATATTATTAATGGTTATTAATTTTGATTTGTCGATGAACACTTACGAAGCAAGTTTTGTTGCAGAGAGTCAGAGCGGTACAAGTTCACATGGTTCTTCTTGAAAACATTCTTCAGTAGTTGGGCTCTTTCAGTTAAGCTAGAAATAAAGTGGACAGTGTGAAAAATATACAGTATCCCTTTATCTTTTGAGTGTGTTAAATGGGAATTAATTATTATATAAAAAGAATCCACTATCCTTTTTCTTTAATTGTGCCTAAGTTAGCTATTAAGAAGATGATTAACAGTGTGTGTGAGGGTAGATTATGAAGTCCAGATACAAGGTAATGTTTTTTCTTGTCACAGTATAGGCAAAACATCTTAAGCACTGTGTGCACTGACAAAACGGATGAATATTGTTGCACATGTGAGCGTGACTCCTTTAGAAACGTGCAGTGGAAAGGGAAGGCACTGGCTTCCTTGACTGCTCCCTTGGTAGCATAGCCTGATCAGTGTCAGTCTGATTACAGTCTTTCTTATGTAAGAAAGTCCTGTTAGCCCCTACTGACACAGCACCTCAAAGGAATGGGTAAAGAAGATAGAAAGTCACATCTGTGGCCATCAGCTCTGTGTACAAAAACATATGGCTTCCATGAAAAGTGTTCTAGCAAGGCGCGTTGCTCATGAAACTTTAGAAGGTGTTTTTCTGGAGACTATACCCAAATAATAAACTACTTTTACCACATGAGGTTGGTCACTTTGGCCCACCTCCTTCCTTCTCAGCAGTACTGAGTCTATCTAAGCCCAGCTAGGAAACAGAAGGAATATTAAACAGTTTTCACTCCGAAGCTCAAGCACCAGCTGAATGATGCAAACTGTAGTGAATGAAGCACTGAATGTGCCAAGTTTCCTTACCATACATCTTACATCACTAAATAAATAATGATGGACTAGCCATAGCTTAGAAAGCTTTTGAAATCTAACAATTTTTTAAGATGTGCAAGGACTATATTAAAAAACCTCACACAAATCCTTCAATTTCTTTCTCTAAATCTGATATCCACTGTGAATTAAGAGCTGTGTTTCAGAGAAATACCAATCTATCAAGTAAAAATTTCCAGTGCTGAAAAATCCAGCCCCTCCCCATATGAACTGGTCTAAAAATTAGTTCACTTATGAAAAAAAAAAAAGTATGTTTATTCTGAGTATATAGTGATTTGATTCCTACAGTTTTTCTGGATTATGCAAGTCGGCTCTCATGTAAGGATATGGGAAGTATAACAAATTTCACATACCTACATTACTGAGTTTTGATTAGTCAAATTACTTTGCCAATTAGCTCAACAGACGTAGTTCCCAGGCTACTGACCAGATTACATAGCGCAAGGAATGGAACTAGACTGCTTCCCTTACTAGATTAGCACTCAAACCATTAAATTAGAAATGCTCATTCTTTCTTCAGTGAGTGTGTATTTCTTATATAGGAAGTTGAACTATTGTCTTAAACTGAAGAAACTAATGGCCTGTCTCCCCTTTCTGTTCCTCTCCAGTCTGGTGGATAAAGCATGTACCAGGCTAAGTTGGGAGATGGAAATAAACCTACTATTTCCAAACCCATAGAAGAATGCTAACTGCAAAATCTACAGGGTAATGGAACAGCCAGGAGAAACTGCTTCTGTGGCCATACTTTGAATGAAAAGATGGAATGAGACTTTCTTGTAAAAAACGAATAACGTAGCAATTCCAGGAAAGCAGCCGGCATCTGCTGACTTAAGCAAGAATTGAGAGGTTGGAGTACTGAGACACACCTTACTCTCAGTGTTTTCACAAGCTAGCTCTTTGGAGACTTTTTTGTTTGTTCATTTTTTTTTAAACATTTTTTTCCATCCTAATTGCTCCACTAGTCTGTGTAGGAGCCTTGGTTTTCACTTCAGAGCTACAAACTGTTAAAGTGACAAGATCAATAGAAATTTAAGGACAGAGGTTTAAACCACAAGAATGCACAGAGCAAAAAAATAAATATCTTCATGTAAGATGGAAGGTCGAAGAGGTGAAAGACCATGTGAGTACTCAGATACAGTCATCAGTTCTACTGCCTTTCCAATACAGCTAAGAAACCCTTCTTAATATGACTTGAATTTCTATGAAGTTTTTGGTTTTGACAGGTGTTATTTTCTAATAAAAAACTATTTGATTAGAAATGTAGCAGGCCTATTCTAGTATTTTTTGTACCACTGCGATACTCTGCTTGTATTCCAGAATGAAATGTTCATATTGCTTCAAGTCTAAGCACTGAAAATACTGCCTTTTTTACAAGAACATGAAGTATGCACGTTTCTTAGTTAATGTATAATGACGTTTCCAATACACAGATCTGATTGTTGGTACAGAAAGTATAAATAAAGTAGGAAATACATTTGAGAAAACTGCTTGCAGCTCTTCAGGTACTAACATTCAGATACTGTCTGATTACACTATCTAGCCAGTAGTAGAATCTTGACCTATAACCTATAGAAGTTGAGTCTCTTATTTTCTGTTGTAATATTTTTACTTTTCTCACTATTTTACAGTTACTTAATCAAACAGTGATCAACTCAGGTGCTTAAGAATACATAGCAAGTTTTTTAAAAAATAACTCTTTGTTCTTGCATTAAAAGCACTATAACTCATGAATAAAAGTGTCTCACATATGTACTTAAAACAGATGTAGAGGATGTTCCTTACCAATTTAACTATTTTCTCTGCACTGGTAACTAGTTAATTGAGACTTCTGCAGTTTAGGAGACTCAACAATATTTACAATAGTTCAGTCAAATTTCTGAAGACGCAAGTAAGTATGTTAATCAGACCATCTCTTTAACAAAGAATGCTTTCTCCATGAAGAGTGAAGTTTTGCCTCTATTACCTGAACTAAGATATAATTTAAAAAAAAGGAGGAAATAAATCCTTAAGAGATACTAAGACGTTTAACATCCACTGATTTCCATGTTTAGATGGATCCTTGTATACTTCAAAGAACACAGGTGTAGAAATAACTTTGTGGAGAAGAAAGACATTCTGACAGGTAACTGAACCCCCTTCGTGAAGCCCTCCTAACTACTTAATTGTAGGACAAAAAGATAATTATAAAACTAGTGTCGAAAACACTGATTTCCTCTTACCTAAATAAGAAGTGATTTGGAAAACGTTCTGAAGATGAAGGAAGAGCATACTGCCTAAACAACTGAAGTAAAAGTAGTTGAATTTGGGAATACAAGAGAAGTCTTAAAATTGCAACTATGGAATGCTAAAAAGGTGCATTACCTTACTTTCTACTACAACCATGAAATGTGCCCCTTTTAGCACTGTCTAGTAATAACGTCTGCCTATTTTTGTAAATCATTCTTTCACAACTTTTGCTCCTTGCAAAAAAACATATAAAATAGATCTCTTCTGGTTCAAAGCTCAGCACACTGATAAACGAACTGGTTAATCTGGAAGAAGATCTTGCCCTGAAACTGCCTAAATAAGCACTGCCACTGGAGAGAGGCATACATAACAATCAATTCAGACCACATAGAATCACAGAATTACCTAGATTGGAAAAGACCTTTAAGATTATTAAGTACATTCATTAACCTAACACTGACAAGTCCTTGGCTAAACTGTATCTAAGTCTACCCGACTCCTAAATACCTCCAGGGAAGGGGACTCCACCTTTAAAGGTAAGAGAGCTTACTCTTGCACACATGAGTTAGGTCATGCAGTGATGTAGAAATCGTCATCAATTAGGGGATTTTGCAGTACTTCCAGTACAAAGCAGCTGCCACAAAGACAACATATAGAGCCTGATAGGAGACATGATACAGGTATGTGCTTCTACGTAGGCCACCACACTAGACTAGGTGGGTCATCCCACAGGTGGTGGGATGAGCTTCCAGGCCTCATGGTACCTCTCTTGGTATTTGTCTATGGTACCAGGGAAGATGAAGGGCACTAGAGACAAAACTCTGTGCAAGTAATTTCTTGGAAAAGAAAGGCAAAGTAGGAACAAACACGAGCTGGATATTCGATCCAGCAGAAACACTGGTCATACCTTGGTATCCAATGTAATTTGGTCTCAACCTGGTAAATTCCAGTAAGCTGAAACCCACAGAACTGGATGAGGGATACAGTAAGACTGAAGGAAAAAATGAACTTAAGTATCTTTATGAACAAAAGGTGTTTCTGAAAATTGAACCTAAAATGAGTGGCTGTTTTTTTCTGGTCTCTTTCCATGCATACCTTGGTAGGAAAAAGGCCTTATTGGCTAAGCCCTTTGCCAGGAAGATACTTAAAAAGAGCAGTCCAGAAGCAAGAACAGGAAAATTAAGTATCAACAGTTTTGGCTTTTTTTCAGACTTCATAAAACTCAGGAAAATGAAGATAAGAAAACTCGAGCTCAGCTAAATGGCACTAATGAACTGAAGAGGGAGAAGAAGGGGTCTTTGTCATCTCACAGTCCTGTTCAGCAAGCGCTTGTTGTGAGCTCAGCTAGCATTAAAAAGTCTTGAGTATTTTAGCGAGTGCACACCTTTATGCTGAGTTTGCACACAGAAATTGTCTAATTGTTCAGTTTTACTTTCCCCCTGACCTGCCTGACCCATGGACAATGCAACGAGGGAACTCTTGTGGAGTCTTAACCTATATGAGGTAAGATACAATTCTGTGAAATTTGTTTGCTCTGAACTGGCATTAGATGCAATGCTAGCTTGTTTTATTCAATTTCAGCAAAACCTGGATAGATTTTGCTGTTTTCCACGATGCTACCAAGTATGTTTAAACTATTTATTTTATTTTATTGTGCTTAGGCTCAATTTATAACTATACTAGTGAATGATGCAGGTTTCAACTCACTTTGTATTAACTGTTAACACAGTTAAAGGTGACAGAATTAAAATCATACTTCAGGTTTGTTCTATACATAATAACTAGAACCATAAGAGTCAGCTCCAAAGAAATACATCAGTTAAAGCCATTATTAAAACCTACATCTTAGCATACGAAAAAACATATAGGCTTAGTAGACCTGAAACATCTTTACAGATGCCTTTTGTTTGTATTGATTTTGAAAAATAACATTTTGTCTTTGATACATGTATAAGGCTGAAAATATTTACTTTTTTTTTAAAGACAATGATCTACAGATTTTTGTAATACCTCTTGCCATGAACAACTGCTCCAGGATCCTCAGACTTTGCTTCCAACTCCTGAACTTCATCTACGAGTGTCTTAAAAGTAGCTCTCTTTACTCTGTAAGTAATACAATATACCACCAGATTTACTCTTCTTGAAAGTAAAAGAACTGATTTAATACTTATATAAACATGTAATTTACAAATTCATTTTCCCAGATGACTTAAAATTAAGCTCGAGAAATAGAAATATTATAAAGCAAGTCTAAATACTATATTTTATCAGCTGTTCTTGTAAATTGTAAACAACAAATATTTATAAAAATACATTACAATTATTGAAACATTTAAAATACTAATAACACTTGTAATAAAGTTTGTCAAAAACAAGGTAAAAAATAGTTTTATATAATCAAAAGAGCTGATCTTCATTGGCTTTTCTTATATTAGTAATTAAAACACACATTTAAAAGTCCCATAAACCTTGGCATTTCTGTACTCACACTTTGTATACTACATCAAAAAGTAAAGCTGTCATAGGAATACATAGAAGTCCCATCCAAAACACTCCAGAGCTGAACATCATAGCTGCCTGGAGAGAAAGAAGCACAAAATGTGACGCTGTTATGACAAGATGAGGAAAAAACCCTTAAAAATATCAACTACTTGGTTGAAGGTATCAAAAGCAAATTTAAATGAACCATTCTAGACTCTCTAATGTGAAATAAAACTTTAACACCTTTCTAAAACCCCCTGAGTTGCTATAGAAATCCAGTAGACAGTAAGCACTAATTCATGTTAAGGAGCTGTAGGAATATCACCCTGCTTAGCACTGAGAGAGGGGCACAATCTACCCCTCCACAACTCTGCTGATTGTAGACATTTCCATTAAAATTGGGTTTATGAAAAGATATACTCCTCCTCGTGCACTATCTTTGTCAATACATTATGAGCACAATTTCTTATTTGCAATCAACCTTAACAGGATATAATGGTTCCTTCCCCTTGATATGGATATTCAACGCTGTTAAAATAATTTCACAATGTAACTTGGATCAAAATTACCTCCAAAAGAACTCACTGTACCACAGTTCCCACACTGCCACAGACTCCTGTTCAACAAACTGCTTAAAAAGACCAATTAAAGAAACAACTATCGACGTGATTATGGAAGTATGCAACATATGAATGAAGGTCTTGCACATTAACACATGCTGAAGTATTTGCAAACAAGATCACTGATTTTAGTTATGTGTTTGGTTTTTTATACACCACTTCATATTAATACACAAGAATTTCTTCTGTTCATAATTCAGCTTGGTCTACACACATACTGAAAACTAAAACACTAAAAAAGCCCAGACAGACATCATAATATATGGACATTAGAGATAAAAATCCCAAACCCTTCAATCTACCATGGTAATTCATGCTCAAGTATCTCTATAAATAATATTATGGATGCAAGGAGTATGATAAATATTTAATGAAGCATATTACTGAAAGATTGTTTTGCAGTCAGTATGAAAAATACCATTGTAATGTAATTAGATTGCACGGAGAGTGAAAGTAACATTGCTACACATCGATACCATTTCAAATACTTTGCTTGATTACTTGGGGTCTAATTCCTTTCAAAGGTTAGACCTCAGTACGTAACTAAAATAAACAAGCTAAAATTTTACTAATATTAATTATCAGGCATGCAGATAGCTTGCAGTAGCTAAAGTCTAATTTCTGAATGCATATACATGAACATTTTAGAAGTATACTTATGTGTAGAAACAAAAGTTAATTATTTTCAGAAAAGAAATTTCATTCTTATATACGTAAAAAGTTCTATTTACCTTGTTTTTGTATCCAAATTCCTACTGACACTGATTCTTTGGAAAACAGTAAAATGCTGAACTGAAATTTGATAAACTCTCCACAACTATAGTAGAAGATATAGATATTGCCCTGAGATTCTAGTGATTATTTCTGCAAACAGCTGTCACCAAAGGTGTGAACACCGAGCAGCTGACAGGTGCAAAATAAAATGATTCACATTTTCAATGAAGAAAAAAATAAAGATCTTATATCAGAAAGTGGAGAAAACATACTAGCACAGTCACTTTATAAGCAAAATATGACTTTTTGACATACTTGACAAAATACTCATTTCCTCAAACAACAGCTAATAGGAAACTTCTATCACAACTACATTTTATAAGACTTTAAATACCAATTAGACAATTAAGTAGCAATTAGAGAGACAAAGTTTCCTAAAAAATAAGAAAAAGCTTAAAAAATACAACTTGTAGTATTTACGACACTTACTTCCTATTATTAACAACATTTTTTAATTTATAAGAACCTAGCAAAAATCTGTCCTTGCCTTAGCCACCCTGTATTAAATGTTTGCTGGTGAAACAGCAAAAGTGATAATGTAGGTCTTAGGATGTTAATTCTGACCATTGTAATGCTAACTATGAATGAAGGAACAACTGGCGCCTACTATTCAGTCCATCCAGCCTTTGGCTTTACAAATGAACAACATGAATTGAGGGAAAAAAAAAAAGTTTTTCTGCGTCATATTTGAAAGCCTGTCAGATTTTTTTTTTCTTTTACAGAGTTAATCCAAACCTAAAAGATTTAAAGCCGACATTCGCATTAAAGACAGAAGGCCTCTTTGTATTTTTTGGACGAAGAGGGAAAAAAATAAAATCCCACAGAGGTATTTCCTTCCTTTCTGTACAAGAAAGCTCCCCCCTCACTCTGTAGAAAACATTTTTGTCTCTAACTTTTCACATCTCTCTACACATAGGCAGGTCATCTGGGAAATGGCAAACCAATCCTTTTCAGACAATGGCACTAACAGGAGCAGCCTGTTCTGAGGACGGACTCTGGCTGCCTCTGTTCGTGGTTTACAAATTGTTCCTAATGTGAGAGATTTGTGGTCTATGCCAAGTTTTTCCCCCTTTAGGCCTTGTGAAACCAAATGGAATCTGCCACAAAAGTGGCTCCCAGGGGAATTCAGAAGTAATCCAAAATGAGAACTGGGAAGCCTAGTTTATTGTAGGACTTACAAATCCTGCAGGGAGGATAAATAATTTGTCGACTCTAGAGCTCATGGTCAATATTAGGAGTTTATAAAATGAATTAACATTTCTCAGTAAGTAAATTGCACAGATTTTTATAAAGTTCGTATTTTTTAAAAATGAAAATATGCTGAGAATTACTCCCTTTCATGTCTTAGTGGCAGACTAGAAATCCTGGCTACAACACTTTTTTAATGCACTGATGAAGATGTATTGTTAGGAAATTACATGCCAAAATGAACGGAGAACATTCCCTTTTTCTTTGCTATAAAGAAAATATTCTGTGTTTTGCACAAACGGCTAGCTCAGATTTTAAAAAGCCTTCTAAAAGTAGAGACAGAAGGATGCACATAACAGTAAAATTCTTGCAGCAGAGAACTTTGTGAAAACCATTTTCAGTTTATCTATTTCAGATATCATCTAAGTATGTGTCCTCTCACAATCTACAGAACTACTGAAATAATACCTCCTCAACGCCATCAAACCAGCTGTAGTTTCTCCTCTCAACAACCTAGAGACAACTTCACTGGTTTTAGTTATCAGCATGTGTTTGCCTTCATACACGCGGAGGTACTTACTGTTGTATTATTAGACCAGATCTGCACTTAACTCTCAGTGAAGTTCCAACAAGTGAGTTCTGGTAACGCGTCTAGTCTTTCTTTGCTATTTAGTTTAAAAAGCATCTCATAGTCCTTCCATTTTATGCAAATACAAACCAAAGCCCTACTGTTATACAATAAACAGTAGGAGGTGCAGGCACAGAAGAAGTACCAGGCAGTCAGGAAGCTGTGGATACCTGCAGGCAGAATTTATAAATTCTTACTGGAACAAATCTCCTATGTGATGAGAAAAATGAGTAAGGATAGAGTAAGAAACATGCCTTTACTTTTTCCCTAACTCCTCTTATTTTCTTCAGCTAAGGATACTACTAGTCCATTGCAAGATCATCAATTTCCTCACTGCAGGCGAGTATGACGGATGGACTGTAACCCATGGAGGGATTATTACAATCATGGTCTTAATTACATAAACACAAATAATACTACAAATAATAAATAAATCTATACAAAAGCTCGCAAATACAGACATGCACTGTAAGTCCTAAAGCTTCAAGAAGTACCTCTGTGCTGACACAGAGAATTAACAGAGACTTCTACAGATGTGTTCAGTCCCTTATTTGAGTGAGTATTTTAATATTTTAAGTATTTCAGCAGAAAACATTACCCTGAAAGTTGCAAAATACAGGCAACCTTAAACCTGGCTTTTGGGTGGTATTCATTGGGGTGAATGTTGTAGTAGTTAACACTTGGACAAACAGGTATTTTAAAACATGGATGTGGTAAGGGTCTAACTGTGAGAGGTAGTTCAGGTTTGTGAATCCTCAGATTAGCACTTATCTCTAAGCACAGTAAGGCATTTGAGCCCAGGAATGGATGAAATGGGGGACTGCACCTTATCTATATGTTCCTGTGACTAGTTTAGAGTGGTTGCTCATTTTTATTTTGTGAATTAAGTTCACAAGCATTTCATTACTTTTTTGCATTTTGTGAAAGCCTGGATTACCTCAATAGATATTTCAAAAAAGCCCCAAACAAATTAGCAATAAATCCTGGTGCCTGGAATAGCTCTTATGAAATTACTAGTTTCTATCTTCGTTGACTTTAGACAGAAAGAGCAATGGAAGTGCTTTCAAAGATAAAAAGCAGGAAAAACAGGCACCACAATAAATATTAATACCTGGAAATTTCCTTAGAACAACTGGAGAGGAGAATGACACACAAACAAAAAAAGCTTCCCCATGAATTAGGAAGAGAAGGTTCTCTTAGCAACAAGGCTGCACTACAGCTTAAATTAACAGATCTAAAAAATAAACTTCTGAAAATTAAATTTCACTGGATATGAAATTACATGAGCTAGAAAATCTTGTCAAGGTGAGATTTATCACACTACTTTTAACTGTATTTGTAATCAGAGAACATTAGTTATTCTGTATGAGAAGGTTAGACTGGTCTCTTTTGCCTCAGAGTAAAAGATTCACAGATCTGTAAAAGGCAAGATGGAAAATTCTTGGAGGGGAGTGAAAATATGTTTAAGTGTGGGAAAATGCCCATAGGGGCCTTTTGCTGAGAATGGACTTGCAAAAGTTTTGGACTATGAAGGAAGGCCCTAGCTTTTGTTTAACTATTTCAATGTACTTGAAATTGTATTTCAAACATACTCTTGTCATGGATTAGGGCTGGGCTGGGCACTAAACACGGACAGACATTCTCTAACCCCCTCTCCTCCACCCAAACAGGAAGGAAAAGGGCATGAGGCAGAGAGACTTACGGGTTAGGAAATAAAAACTAGAAGAGTTTTAATGAAACAATAATGGAAATAACAGTGAAACAGTAAAAATAAGGAACTGTACACAACTATATATAAGCCCGATATCAAACCAGACTCCCCTCTGATAGCAACCCCCACTGATGCTGCAGAGCAGGCGGGAGCTGATCTAGTCCCAGGCGGGAGC